TTAGCTAATTAATCTCATGATGAATCTTCTCTTTAGCACATTCAGTCTTTCCAGGGGCCTATTCATCTTGAGCTGCAGCTCTCCCTGAGAAGTTGCCACAGACATTCAGGAAGGTCCATCTCTGGGTCCTGCTCTAGGATGGAATCCCCACCCTACCCGCCTTATGTATCCAGTCTCAATTTTTTTCTCCTCAGGTTTTCTACTTGTCAACCCTTGGGGCAGAAAGGGGTATACAGAAGGGACCCATCAGGTAGCAATCTCAGGGCAGTGTTAGAGGCATTGATCTCCGCTCAGGCCAGGTGGGCTTCAGGACCATGGAGAGCTCACTAGGCTTTGTGGTGCCATTAAGGAGCATCAGCTAAAAGCCAACAGTGCTAGCTAGGCACTGAGCAGAGGAAGGAGTGTGTCAAGTGAAGCCCTCTGGCCAAGCCCTCTTGGGAGCTTACAACAAATGTGGGAAATTGAAAATGGAACACGTTTCCCCAGGAGATAATCAAAGGGTTTTTAGAATACAGGAGATGAGGGGAATAGTTCCTGCTTGCTAGAAGGCTGGCAAATCAGGAAGGCTTCTTAGAGGAGGAGATACTTCACTGAGTATTGGGAGATAGGATTTCAGCATATAATAATGAGCTCAGGGCTGAGATCTTAGAGGCACTTAATAAATGTGCTTGTTGAACAAAGCACTGGATGAATAGATGAGGGGGCAAAATGTCACAAGGCAGATCTAACCTCCAGATGTACACAAGACCGAGCAGTGACCCTGGAAGTCAGTCAATGTGACCTGCTTTGTCCTGGCTTGGGGGCAGGGAAGCTGTAGCACTGAGCACCTCCATTCCCTCTGGGCCTGGCCTCCTTAGGGACAGATGGAAGGCTTCTGGTGCAGTGGCAGGTGAAAGCACTGTCAGTCTGCTGGGAGGAGGCTGGTCATGGCTGCTCTAACTCCTGCACTGGCTTGGGTGTTACAGGAGTGGGCAGATGCTTGCTGCAGAGGACTCCGGAGTGTCCATGCCTACATCCTGGTCTACGACATCTGCTGCTTTGACAGCTTTGAATACGTCAAGACCATCCGCCAGCAGATCCTGGAGACGCGGTAAGGGGCTATGATTCCATTTAATCCCACCCTATGAATGCTCCAGTGCTAACCTACCCCAGAGGAAAAGGAATAGTGGTGAAGTGTATGTGCCCTCTGGTTCTCACACACCCATTCAAATATGCACATACTCATATTTTTTTGTCCTTACTTCTGTTAAATCCAACACCCCTAACTGTGGGGTGTTTAGGATAGTGGAGTGGTTAAGAGCATAGTCTCCAGGAACAGGACTTCCAGGATCACTCAGCTGCATGACTATAGGCCAGTTAACATATAAGGCTCAGTTTCCTCATCTATAAAATGGAGATACAATAATATCTGGTAATTGGGGGGTTTTGTTTGTTGGATCAGTTGTGTTGATTAGAGAATATAACTCAACCCAAGGACTTAAGCTGTACCTGGAACAGAACATACTGTAGTGTAGAGTCCAGTGAAACTGAAGAGAGTTCTGAGATTCTTGCCTCACCCTTCAGGGTTATTGGTACCTCCGAGACACCCATCATCATCGTAGGCAACAAGCGGGACCTGCAGCGCGGTCGTGTGATCCCACGCTGGAACGTGTCGCACTTAGTGCGCAAGACCTGGAAGTGTGGCTACGTGGAATGCTCAGCCAAGTACAACTGGCACATTCTGCTGCTCTTCAGCGAGCTGCTCAAGAGCGTCGGCTGCGCCCGCTGCAAACACGTGCACGCTGCCCTGCGCTTCCAGGGCGCTCTGCGCCGGAACCGCTGTGCCATCATGTGATGCACAGGCGCCCTGCACAGCCACAGGCTGCAGACCCGCTGGCCCCAGAGGAGGGCAGGGTGGTTCTGGGGCTGCTTCCGGGACTGGGGCTGGAGGCGGGAGCCAGCAGAATAGAACTTTGAAGGTCCTGGCCTGAGGCACCCCACAAACGAGCACCTCCACACGTGCTCTGAGAGGCAGAGGGCAAGGGGGAGCTTCCGCTAACTACTCAGTACTCCCCTTCTCCCACGGTTGTCTTCCTGGGGCAGCCACCTTCAGTGCTGTAGTTAGTGCGGGGCCTGGCCTGGCCTGAAAGTGCACCACAGCCATTTGAGATTGGGGGTGAGTGTGTGAAATGGAGGGTGGGGTGAGGAGGTGCTACCTTGGCCAGGCCCCCACTTATCTTTTCCAGAGTGTGTCTGTCTTTGCCCAGTGTCTTCCTTTTCCGTGTCTGTCTGTCCAAGCGTCTGTTAGTCCTCACCTGTCTTATCCACCCTCCAATCCCCCTCCCCGCCCCCCAGCTCCACTCACAGGGCTCTCATTTCATCCATCCCTTTTTCAAAGATCCTGGCATCTTTGTGGTGCCAGGCCTTCTGACTGTCAGCACCACTGGCACAGGGCAGAGAGAGGCAGGTGGCCCAAGGATCCAGATCAAGGGGTCCAAGGGTTGAGGTCCCAGATCAGTCAGGGGGAGAAGGCTGAGCTCTCCCACTTTCAGGGAGACCTCCCTGCACAGCAGCCCCCAGAGACACAACAACCTACCTTCCAGCCTTAACTCGATGGTCCGTCCCTGCCGGGTGCCCCTCACCCTTTTCCTGACCCCAAAGCCAGATCACCTCCTGGGTTAAAACTTTTTGTTTTTTGGGCAGAGCATGGAGAGGGAATCCCCCAAAGGATAGATTCCTTTCCATGACGCCAAGTTCCAGTCCTCTATTACCTCCTGCACTGGGTGGTCTGCCAGATTGGGGGATGTCAAGTTCTGGGGGGCTGTTGGTGGTAGGCAGGATGGTGCCCAGGAGGGGGTCAGGTTATGCCTGTGACCATTATGTCTCCCTGACCCATCTCAATCTGACTACCCCAGACTCTGCCTGCCTCAGCTCTCAGATTACCTTTATTAATCTGGGCAGGATCAGAGCCAGGAAAAGAATTATGGGAACCCCTGTGCTTGGGGGAGATACGCCTGCATCTCCACCCATAGGTGGACACCCTCAGGATCTGACACCCCTTTGTCCCAACAGCAGTTGGCCCTATGCCCTAACTCACTCCGCCCCCATTTTCTCCGGCTGCCTGGCCGGGTTTCTACCTCTCGTCACCGGAGCTGATCACTGTCAGTTTTGTACCGATTTAGAAATAACAATAATAAGATTATAGAGATGGCTTGAAGGATTGCTGGGGGATTTGGAGGGAGGGAGAAGGGGTGCCATGTTCCCCACCCCCAGCCAAAGGAAGTTCTCCTTGAGGCTGAGCCCTCAGCCCTGGTCTGGTGGGAGGATATCAAGGTCCCTTGCTAAAAGAGGGGAACAAATAACAATCCAGCCTTAGGTAAGGCTGAAGCGAATAGACCAGGAAATCAAGTAGCCCAGAACAGTGATGGAGGCGAGTCTGGAGTAAGGGCTGTGGGTGGGGAATTTATTATGGACATTCAGTAAGGGAGGGAATCTGTGATTCTCTCCAGCTCCCCACACCCACTGATTCCCACTCCCTCCACTCGCTGGAGGCAGCACAGCCCTAGAGCAACAGCCCTGACCTCGGGCTGTCCAGTATTCCTGGGTTCTAGTCTCACTGTGCTACTTGCTTTGGGCAAGTGACTTGCTCTCTCTGAGCCCCGCTCTAAAACAGAGGAGGTGGCTCCCCTTCCCCACACTTTTAGGAGTGGCTGGGAGGGTAAGGAAGAGGGCCTGCCTCCTTCTGTCTCCTGTGCCCCCACCTCCTGGCCCAGCAGGAGGTGGGGTTAAGGATGACAGCATCTCATCTGCCCTATTACCCCCAACTCTGAGGTTCCTGAGGTGAGGGTGGGGACCCAGGCCTCTGGCTGCCCCCGTGGGAGCCATTGGAATGTACCCTCTGTCCAACCCCTCTCACCGCCACCACTTCACTCCAGGTCTTGGATTTCAGGTCCCTCTGCACCCATTTTGAGTCTCTGTCCTCCCCCCATTCCCCCACCAGGGTTTCCCACCACAGGGTCTGGAAGTGTGTGTGATGCCCATTGAGCTGTTATTGGAAGTCAGATTAAAAATCAGGGAGTGTTTTCCCTTGTTTCTGTACCAAGGTGTCGACTGGCTTTTCCTCATGGAGGGAGGGAAGTGAAGGGTGCCTGCCTTCTGAGCTCTGTGTGGAAGAGGAGTGAGGGTAATGAGATAGCCCCCAGTCCCAGAGGCCAGGTCAACCAAGAGATCAAAGGATAAGAGTGGGAGACTTCTCCTTTTCACCCAACCCCAAACCCTCCAATTCATGGAAACCATCCAGGAGGGAAACGACTTTTCTGCTTGCCACTCTCTGGAAATTTTTCATAACAGGACTCAGCCCCAACTGCTTCTGCATCTGTTCCTTCCCATTCAGGGCTGAGATTCTGTGGTCTCTCAGTCTTGACTTCTTGGACATAAATGTGTTAGGAACACTCTGCACCAACCAGTTGACCCTTCAGAGCTTTGGAGTCCTTGGCAACAGTGGCCTGAAGAAGCCTTTGCATTGGCTGCCCTTGTCCCTGTCTGGAGCTGACAGCCTGCCACCTCCAGGAAAGAGAAGACTGTTGGGCAAGGTGGGCTGAACCTGAGAAGAGAAAGGCTCCCTCCACCTTGTCCCCACCTGTCGCATGGGATAATGCTTGAAGACACACCTTCCTAAACCTCCACAATGCTGAGGGACTCAAGAAGCTTGGGGCTCAAGGACAGACCCACATGTGTTGAATAACTTACAGTTGTGGAAACAGGTGGGTATGGCCAGAAGCCAGGAGTCAGGGAGCTTATTTGAGGGAGGACAATAAGATATAGGATCACCCCACTACCCCTGGCCTAATGCTGGAATAGAAATAGTATGTTGCCCGTTTGCTCATCTGAACAGTTTGAGTCTATGTTTATCATCTGGTCTGCCCCTGGCCAAGGCCCTGTTTGGAGGTGAGGGAATTTCCCTTCTCTTCTCGAATACTTGGGCATTCTTTTGCTTCTTTTCTCCCCAATCCTTAGGCTCCTCAGACCCAAGATTCTTCCTCTGGTAGGAGTGGGACTTGATTCAGCTGCCTTACTTGAGGCTGGGGGCTGCTTTGCTTGGGGGCGACTGGCTCTTTCTTCTCCTTGCCGGCTAAAGCTCCATCCATCTGAGATGCCTCCCCTTCCTGGCTGCCCAGTGCAGCTCTCAAGAGCTTGCCCTTGGGGGGCGCCCTGGCCAAACCCAGATGGAGGTAGGCCAGTGGCTTGGGGATTCGGGAAGGCAGTTTCTCAGGTCTGTGGTCTCTCCGGGGCCGGATTCTGGGCCTCAGCTTCAGCTTGTAGATGGATGGGATTCTCTGGGGCTTCCGGAGTGTTCTCTTGCCTTTGCCCAGGCATGCCTTGGCTTTGTCAGAACTGGGGGCCTCCAGGCTGGCAGACACAGTCGGGCCTGAGCAGTCCTGCCTTCTTGGAGGTGAGATCTCCCTCATCCTGGTGCCCATGGCACTTGGGTTTGCTCTTGCCCTTGGCTCACTCTCTCTGGCTCCCAGCTCCCCTTTTGGGTTTCCAGGGCCTGTGGTGACAGTTGGCTTAAGGGAGTTGCTAGAGGCTCCCTTCCAGGATCCCAGATCCACTTTAAGAAGGAGGGGGGGTCCCTGAGCCAGTTCTTGGATGACTTTGTCATAAGGACCTCCAGGCTCAGGCCACTGCCCGCCCAGACTGGGGACATAGACTCCACTACGAGGGATAACTCGAGACCCTGTGCTCTGGGGATGGGCACCCCCCACCTCTAGTAGCTTCATGTTGGCCACAATGTCCTCTTCAAGGCTACAGTAGATGTCTTTCTCTTTGATTCTGCCCAAGGCCAGTGGTGTGTACCTCCCTTCCCACTCCTGTGGGCTCAGGCCCTGGGGTGCTCCCGTCCCTGGAGTGACCTGCTGGTCTCTCTGCCTCGCTTCTACAGAGCAGTCCCCATGTCTGGACCTAGCCAGGTCCCCAGTGACAACCCTTAATGGACTGGGGCCTCTCTCTGGTTCTGCCATGGGACCTCCACTTGCAGTGCCTGGAAAGCTGCTTCCTGGGGTGGAGGGGTGGGCAGGGGACCACCGGATGGGGATCCTGGTGAGTCCTTTGACAGGGGATTGAGAATGAACAGATGCCGGCTCCCTGAGTTGGGGGGAAGCACCCTCAGCCTTACTCTGAAGTGGCAGCCTGAGGCCTGAGGGCTGGGCTGCGCCAGAGGGACAAGACAGGAGAGAAGGTCTTCTTAGTAATGTCCCTTTGGTAGTGGCCTCTTGGAGTCTCTTGGGGGGAGGGACCCTGGCATGGATTCCCTGGCTGGATTTCTCTTCATGAACCCAAGATGTGGGAGTCCTTCCCCTGGAGAGGTCACTGGGGTATTTGTCCTCTCTCTTCCCTAATGGAGTGCATTGTGGGTCTCGACTCCTATGGGTAGATGAGAATTGGGGGCTGGGTGGACTGCCTCCTGCTGATAGCTGCCTCCGAGATGGGATGAGTAGCCTCTCCTGGGACCTGAAAATGAAAATCACAGGCTGGAAGGGGAGATTTATCCAGGCAGGAGGGTCATTGAGTGCAGTCTCCGGGCTCTAGAAAGAATAGCCTCTCCCCGACTGGGACTACATGCTGACTAGACTTCATGCTGAGTGGGACAAATGTGCCTTCTCCCCCATGACTGTCCCAAAGTTCCCCTTATATCAGTCCCTGATGAAGTCTATTCTCCTGGTTCCCTGAATATCAAATAGGAGGAAACCTGTTCCAGGCTTGTGGTGACTTCAGATCCTTTGAGTGATGACCCAGACCAGAGAGGTCTGATAACCAGAGGACACCTGTCTTGAGGGTAGGTTTTAGTCTCAGCTCTACCATGAAGTGGCAGAAGGACCTTGGCTTTGTTCCCTTTCTGGGCCTCAGCACCCTTGTTTATGAAATGGGTGGGCATAGGAAGTACCTAAATGTTCCCAAAGTAATGGGAGCTATCTTGGTTCCAAATATCTGAGTTTTTTTGTTTTGTTTTGTTTTTGGTGTGGGGAAGGGGAAGGGTGTGGTGCTGTTCCCTTTATCTGAGGTGGGGCCGCCTCTGAGAATATGGACTCCAAAGAAGAAAGAGGCCCTTCTCCATCCCTCTCCTGTACCTTAAGAATGAAGCCATCTCTCTGAGGTCCCCTGCCCCCGCTCCCTGTTCATTGCAGGGTCTGGGGGAACCGGAAGTAGGAGGCCTCAACCTTCGGCCTGAAGAGGTGTATGTCTTCCAGTCGACCGGAGGCGGCTGTGGGCTCTGTGAGCGGCTGACGGTCATTGTGGGCTGGAGCTGCGAGGGTCCCTCCTGCACCCTCACTTCATGCTGCACCAGTGAGCCTGGGGGCTTCAGGAAGCTGCCCTGTTTGTGGGCTACCAACACAGTATCCCAGAGAAAGAGAGGAAGGAAGGGTTCAATGATGATGGGACTCACTGTTCCCCTCACCCAGCTGTGCTTTGCCCCCATCCCACTTTAAAGATAGTGGGGCCTACAGTAGCAGCACTAGTTTTTTTACAGGAAAAGTTTAGGGGACACAATCTGGTCAGAGGAGGGCCCAGCTGAGGGCCTTGTTTAAAGCTGTGTAATGTATTGCAGGTTTAAGACTTTTACGTAGATTCTATGCTTATCTGGGGAAGCCTGAGATGTTGAAGGAGATCATGAAGGACTAAAGACCATGCTTGGTGCCACCACTGTGCCTAAGCTCTGCCTAGGTGCACACTGACCAAATGCCAATTCTGCATGTGTTGCACCCCACCTTGTGGCTGTAGTGAGTACTGCACCACAACTGCCCAACAGTAGGGGCACACCTCCCATCTCTGCTGCTGGCCTCCTAACCCAGCGCTACACCTCTCCAACCCGCCAGCCCCACAGGGAGAAGACTCTTAGGTGACTCACAGAGGGATGTACACCGGCAGGGGTCATGTTTGTCCAGATAATGGCTAAGCGTGTCCCAGCCGCCCCCTACACGCACCATCACATGGTTCCGGAGGATCTGAGGGGGCAAGGGTGAGGTTAAGGGCAGGGTGGAGGGCATCTCCTCTTCCTGGACCCTCTCAAAGGCCTCTGAAACACACTCAGGGATATGCCCATTCGTGTACTGATCACATACAGGCACTCCCTTGCACACGTGTGGCTGGGAGCGGGCATATTTTGTAGTCTGGTCACCTCCATATGTTGTCAAGGGTGGTGGCAAAACTGGCCAACAGAAAGTTGTCCCCCAACTAGACAAGGGACCACATGGGCATCAGGTAGTCAGGCCCCAGCGCACTCCTTTCTCTTGCTTCCCTACAGAGGGGCTGGCTCCTGCCCTTGGTTGTGTCTGAAATGGGTCCCAACTGCTTCTGGCTTGCCTCTGTGATGTTTGTGACAGAACCTCTGAGAGTCCTGTCCCACTCCACACTGGGGCAAGTCACATAGTCTCTCCAGGCTTCAGTTTCCTCAGTTGAAAAGTGGGGCCACCACATGTTGCCCCTACCTATGTTACAAGGCTACTGCCCCAGGCTCTGGGTGAGGGCTCAGGATTCTGGCTCTGCTCCCAGGTGTGGCCTGTACTCAAGGAAAGTGTTTGGCCATGTCCCTGGGCACAGACCACTTCTGGTGAGGTGCACCCAGGTATCAGGAGGTTTATTATCCAATGGGAGGCACATCTCAGCTTGTACTACCACTCACTTTGCAGAAATGTACAGCCAGCCATATAAGGGGGGACTCTGGGGTGCATGTGGCTGAGGCCATGCACTGAACACAGATTTGGGGTTCTTAGGCCCCTTGCTCTGACCAAAACCTGGGGTAGAGTAGAATGGAATGTAAAGTGAGGGTACCTTCCTCATACCCCACTTGTTCTTGAGGGTACTCTCTAGACTGGGCTACAATGGAGGTAATGGCAGGTCCTGATGGAAGGAGAGGATAGGCTTGCCAACTTTGCCAGGAATGTCCTGGAAATCTCCAAGTAGAAGGAAAGCCCCAAGGCTTGATGGCTTGGAGGGTATGGTGGCTTCCTGTCCTTGCCCTTAATCCTGGCCAACATCTGTGAAAAGAAACCCTATTCTGCTGAGGGTAGGGGCCCCTCCACCCCCAGACCAGACTTACCCGTATGAAGATGAGGGTGTTGGAGTCTCCTACTTGGTACTTCCCCTCAGACAGCTTGACCATGGAGAACTGCACTGGGCAGGTACAGTGGCTCACCAGGCTCTGCACCTGCAATCAGTGGACAGAAGGCTCAGTCCTCCCCTCTGCTGGGCACCCAAGTCCCCTCCCCCACTCTGGGTCAAATTAAATGGGATCCTCCCTGCTTCCAGAGCCACCCCTGAGTTTGCTGCTGAGGGTTGGGGTTGGGGGGCTGAGAAGCAAGTAGAGGGTAGAGAAGACCAGGAGCAGCCATCTATGTCCAATGCCCTTGAGGGTCAGCTGATGGAGGTGGTGGTATAATGGCTAAGTAAGTGGACTGCAGAATCTGGTGAGCCTGTCAGAGTCCAGTCGCCACTGAATCATAGGACTTTAGTTAAGAAGTTTCCCTGAGCTCCCTTTCTTCCAATGGAAGAAATGGGGTTAATCACAGCAAGCGCACCCTATCCTATGAAGTGTCCCCTCTCTGCAGACTATTCCACATGCTGGCATGTGCTGGTCCATTAATACAGCAGTCATGGAAGGTAGGTGCTGTTGCGGTCCCTATGCTACAGGTGAGGGAACTGAGGCACAGAGATTAAATAATTTGCCCAAAGTCACATAGTAGTGAAGTGGTGGAACTTGGCCTTGAGCCAGAGTGTTGGAGAGGATGCCATCATCCCTGTTCACACCCATCCCACCGGGGGCTGAATGAGAGCCAAGCAGGGCCGGGCTGGTTAAAAAAAAAAAAAAAAAAAGTGATACGCGACACTTACAGCTATTGCAGCAGCGTGTGGTTAAGGTTGAGGCTCAGAGTGGAACGTGACTTAAAGCCACACAATTGGGATTAGAGCTCAAGCCGTGGGTGGCCCAAAGAGGGCTGGCTGGGATGGGGGAGAGGGGGTGTGGCGAAGGACCTGAGGGCGCGTGCTGGGCACCTCACCATCTGGTCCAGGTTGCGGAAGTGGCAGGGATGGCGCTTGGGAGGCGCAGGCGGCGGGGGGTCGGGTGGGGGCACGGCCAGCTCTTGCCGCAGCTCCTCGTCGATCTCCTCCTCCAAGTGCACCAGAGTGGGTGCCGCCACGCCGAAGCGCCAGGCACGACGGCCCAGTTCCAACAAGCACAGCACCACGTTCTTCACGTTCTTGCGCAGCACTAAGTCCTCAGTCTCGAACATCAGCACCTCTGGTGTGGGGCGGGGGAGAAGCGGCACAGGCTTTGTGAGTCCCCCACTGACCTCCTAGTGGGAACACTGGGGTCTTCCCCAGACCCAGGTAGCAAATTTGGAAAGAGGGCTCAGGTTTCAGGATCTTGGGGTGATTGACAGCCAGCAGGAGGGGTCTGGGCAGCTTGGTCAGCTGCTGGGTGCAGACAGGGCAGCCAGCCTCACAGTGGAAGCTGGGGCTGGGAAGATGTGGAGGAACACGTGGAGGAACAACAGAGGAAGCATGAACCTGGCTGTGGGCTGTAGAGAAGAGAAAGGGTTCCCTCAACCTTGCCCTTATCCGCACTCAGCTCTCAGGCTGAGTCCAGGAACAGGAAGCAGTTTGTCCTGCTTCCCACCAGGGTTTTTCACCTCCCCCATCCAGAGTGCGCCTAGACTCAACCCCCAGCCCAGGTCAAACCAGTCTGGGTCAAGCACAGGCTCTGCACATGCTGCCTTATAAGGCTGAGTCCTGACTCTCCCACCTACCAGCTGTGTGACTTGAGTCTCAGTTTTCTCTTCTACAAAGTGGAGATGTGGTCTATTTCATGGGATTGTTAGGATTGGATAAGCTAATAGTTGTTGGCATTTACAGATAATATCTAACACAGGGTAAGTGCTCCATAAAACGCCTGTTTATTTTATTTATTTAGTGGTGCTGGGATTGGACCAGGACATCGTGCCTGACAGGCAAGCAATCCACTTCTGAGTTAGACCCTCAGCCCAAACACCAGTTTTATTAACCTTCCAATCCTGCTCCTCAATGCCTTGCCACCAGCCAGGAGCCTAACCTTGACCCTTTTCCTGCCTGACTCCTACCATCTTTGGCCTGGAGGATGGCACAACATTCAGGCACATCCTATTCCTGAGTCTAAGTTCAATGAGATGACAGATCCTGACATGTTACTCCCCTGAATCCAGCAAGCCCCAGCATGCCTGCGTCCCTCCCTACCATTGTTTGTTGGGCTTCCTGCCTCCACTTCACCCTCCCCCACTCCATGCCCCAGCCTCTCACAATCATCCAAATGCAGCACCTTTTCTGTGCCTTTGTCACTGCTGTCCATCTGCCTAGAATTCTCTTTTCCCCAAACTTCTCATATCTCCTTAAGATTTAACCCAAATCGCCTTCCTCTGTGTAACCTTGCTGGGCTCCCACTTCTACATCACCAGGTCACTGATTTCTTTCCTGGTTCCCTGGCACATTCGCCTGGACTTGGAGCATCCATCACCTGGGCTGTAATTTTTGTATCTATGTGTCTTGCTAGATCATGAATTCCTTGGGTAATGGGTCTCATCCCCCTCACTTCTTGATGCCCAGCAAGGTGCTCAATACAGAATAGGTGCTTCATGTATGTTTGTTGTATGAATCATCAATATTTATTTGGGGAGGATTTGCTAAGCAATGAGGAGAGGGAGGTTGAAGAGAGGTGAGTCAAACCTGTAAGGAACAACCAGGCTCCTCACCCCCAGATCTAGCCTAGCCCTCACAGAGAGGATGAACACCCCACAAGATAAGGGTCTGAGATAGGGTAGTTACCTTGGATGCCCATCTCCTTGCGGCACCACTGGATGAAGTTGGAGACATTGTCCCTGGCCTGGAAGGTATGCGGCTGGGCGGCCCCATTGCAGGAAACCCCAGTCCGGGGCATGGGAATCCTTTGGGCTTGGACAGGTGCCTCAGCCAGGAAGGCCAGAGCAGCCTCAGTGATCTTGTTGGCATGCTGGCAGAGCACCAGGCCCGTCTCCAGAACTTGCAAGAAGTTGGCTGCGTCAATGTCCAGCCCGTAGAGATCCCGCAGCCACTCAGCCAGGTCTTCCTTCATGGCCTCCAGGTACTGCTCACTGGACTTGAAGGGCCGGATGCTGCGCACAGGAAGCCCTGGGGTCCCAGGCCTCCTCCTGTATCCCCCCTGCTGAGACATGGCTGGCACTGCAGCTGGGAGGAGGTGGGCACCTCTGCTGTCCCGCTGTTGCCTCTATACTCCTGCTACCTGCTAGGTCTTGGCCCAGACCTCCTGGATTCGGGGTAGGGGAGGTCCCCTTCCACTCTCGGAGAGCCTAGGACTTCCGGCTCTGCTGCTTGCTGCTGGCTTTAGCCTCTGGGCCGGGCCCTTGCTCCCCCACATTCCTTAGTCCCTGCCAGAACTTTCCCTACTTGGTGGCCTTTCAGCAACTTCACCCTCAGGCTGCCCAGCCCACTCAGAGTTCAGCACCTCCTGGGACGGGGGGAGGTGAGGACACTTCTCTCGCCCCCAGGGCTGGACAGATTAGTCTGGCTGCCTCCCACCTGCCACTACCACTAGCCAGGGAACCTGGCATGGCCGTCAGCCTCCCCGCTCTGCTTTCCTCTCCTCTCCTTGGAGACAGCATTTGCTACAAACACTCCTCCTTAACCCTTCGGGCAGGCACAGGCTGCCAGGCACAGCCGGCCCTGGAGAGCTGGTGGAGCTCGGCAGAGAGGCTCGGGATGGCTTTTCTCACCAGACTGATCCCAGTGCGGGCTTCTGGGGCGTGGGGGAGAGAAGCGGGGCTAGGGATGGGGCCCCTCGTAGCGAGTACTGGAGGAAGAGTGTGAAAGAGACACAGCAATAGAGTTCAAAGACAGAGGAGTTTTATTGAAATCTCTGTGCAAGAGGCATGACTCCCTAGCCTCTCAGTGCTTTAGTTTCCCAACTGTAAAATGGGAGTGGTAATGTCTAGTTCTCTGGGGTGTTGTAAGGAATAAAGGAATAATGTGTGAAAGTGTCAGACCATCAGAACACAGGTACCGTTTTGGGTGGGACTTCATGATTCTCTTCATGATTCTCCCAGCACCCCTGTCCGCACCGCGTTTCTCACCTTCTCTGGAGAACCTGCTCCATCCCTTGCTTTAACCATGTAATTCTTCTAGAACTTGCTGTCAATCACAGTGCCTCACTCCGATAGCCACAGCTATGCATTCTTCAACGAAGGTTTCTTGAGCACCTACCATGTGCCAGACACCATTGAAGGCCTGAGGATACAGCAAGAAACAAAAAAGATCAGGTGTCTGTCATCATGGAGGCTACTTGCATTATGGATGACAGATAAATAAATCTAGGGTAAGTAAGATGGCAATAAACACCAGGGAGAAAAATAAGGCAGTAAAGGAGAGATGAAGGTATGGGGGGATTTTATAAAAGGTGGTCAGGGAGGGTCTTACTGAGAGCATGACAGTTAAGCAGATACCTGAGAGAAGTTGAGACTCACAACTATCTACAGGAACAATGCTTGGGCGGAGGGAACAGCCAGTGCAAAATCTCCGAGGTAGGAGCTTGGATAGCATATTCTAAGAATAGCAAAGAGAAGAAGGATATGAGGCTGAGAAGAAATGGGGCCCCAGATCAGGCAGGGCCTTTGGGTAACTCCAGAGATTTTGGCTTTTTCTCTGTGTGAAATGAAAAATACTCTGGAGAGTTTTGAGTAAAGGAAGGACTTTCTATAGCAGGTTGCTGAGTGGAGAAGGACTGCAGGACCAGAGGTGGAGGCAGGCAAGAGTTCATCTACTGCCATCATGCAAGGAAGAACAATAGTGACTTGGACCAGGTGGGCCAAGAACTCACATTGCTTGCAGTACTGGGGATGGAACCCAAGGCCTCATGCATACTAGAGACTCTACCACTGAGCCACACCTCCAGACCTTTTTATTGATTTTTCTTATTTCAAGACAGAGTCTAAGTTGCCTAAGCTGGCCTTAAACTTGCAATCCTCCTGCCTCAGCCTCCTGAGTAGCTGGAGTAAAAGGCATGTACCACCATGCCCAGCCTTTATAACTCTTGAAGAATTCACAAGGTTGGTTCAAAACACTGTTTCTCAGCCTTGGCATTGTTGATACTTTAGGCTAGATAATTCTTTGTTGTGGGGGCTGTCCCATGCACTGTAGGATATATAGCAGTGTCCCTGGCCTCCAGGCATTAAATGCTAGTAGTATCCCCATTCCCCATAATGTGTGAAACAAAATGTCTGCAGATATTGTCAAATGTCCACTGGGGCAGGGAGGAATCCTTTCCTCACCTACCTGAGAGGTACTGATGTAGGAGGTGAGCATGAGACTCAAGTTAGTTCAAACAAAGCCCTTCCCTGGGCATTTCAATTTGGAGCTATAGGAGCAGGGTTTTTTCCCAATCAGACTTTATGGATATAGATCTGAATCCATATTCCCAGGACACAGAGAAAGTCCTTCTGCAATAGGCAAGAATGAAGCTGTTACACAAAGAGCACACAGATGGAGGGAGAGAGAACCTGAGGATAATGAAGCCCTTCATCCTGCTGTTTTCAGGCCAACCATTATTTAGTGGCAGGCTAAGTTGCTATGATAAAAATCAACCTAGGCGGGGGATATAGCTCAGTTGGTAGAGTGCTTGCTTCGCATGTACAAGGCCCTGGGTTCAATCCCCAGCACCAAAAAACAACAACAATAAAAACTTCAAACCACCCAAACAGTGGCTCATACGGAATAAAAGATTATTCCTCCCCCTCAGAGGTAGGCAAGTGGTGCTTCCTGTGAGCTTGAACAGACACCCAGGTTCTTTCTGTCTTGTCACTCTCTTTGGCTATTGTTGTTATCTAACCAATCAGTCCTGACTTCCCAGGACTTTGAATCCCCCCATGTTAAGGAAGAGAGAACAGAGACATGGGACAGAGAGCTTCCTTATAAGAACACAATGTGAGGTTAGGAATGGAGCTCAGTGGGAGAGCACTTCTTGCCTAGCACATATAAGGTGCTGGGTTTGATCCTCAATACAGCAATAAAAATAATAACAATAATGCAGAAGTTACACACTCCCTTCCGTTCTTACACTTTTGATCACAATTTAAGCATCGCGCCATACTGAGTTGCAAGGCAGGCTGAAACTGCAGCTGGTGATCACATGTCCTTTTACTAAAGGAAACAATGGAGACAAGGGATCACTTACACTCCTCGCCATACGAGAGTCTCAAAGCAAAGCCTTTCTCTGACTTTAATTCAGTTTGTGTAAATGGCCACAGAGCAAATATTTTAAGCTTTTGAGAGTCACATACTGTCTGTGTCACATATTATTCTTTGTTTTTCTTTTCTTTCTTAAACCCTTTAAAAATAATATGAACCATTCTGAGCTCAAGAGTCAGACAGAAATAGGCTAGGTGTGGATTTCGACTCTAGCTTGCCAACACTTAGATTACATGAATCAATAAATTCCTTTTTTAGTCTTCTTCAATTAAAAATGGTCTTTACTTTTTGATCATAGAACAGGATTTTTTTTCTTGGTACTGGGGCTTGAACCCAGGGTCCTACATATGCCAGGCAAGGGTTCTACCCCTTAGCTACACCCCTAGACTCAGGAATTTAAATATATGTGTTAGATGGAAGAGAACTGTAATAAGCATCCAGTTAATTCTGAAGGGGAGTTGGGTGGAAATGCATGCCATTGGAAGATTTAATGACATACATAAAATTTGAGCTGGGATTTTTGTAAGGAATGAGAAAAATCTGTGCTCCCACTTTTACTAGGTCAGAGAACATCTTAAGTAGTCAGAAGACACAGATGGAGCGGTGACAGAGAAAGGGTACACCCACCCTTTTATCTTTAAGCTAGTTTGAGTTGGTCTGCTGTCAGTTACAGGCAAATGAATTTGGAAGAAAAAAATACAGTGAACAAGGTGGAGTTCTCCCCCTCCTGCCTATAATCGATAAAGGGCGTGCGTTATATGGCAGAGATTCTGAACCTGGAAGCATGTTTGGGGAGTTTCCCACCCAGAAGGATCCTGGAAGTTCAACAGGTCCCACCCCAGATGTGACTTTGGTTCAACCAATCAAACCCACCCACCTGGGCCAAGAGAGGGAGCCAGTGGCACCCAGTAGAGCAAAAAATCCATTCTGGGAGCAGCCATGGTGACATACACACCTGGTTCCCAGAACTGTAGGGGCAGCAGTCAGGGATTCAACCCTTCATGATCCATGTTCTTTGGCGGAATTTTAGGTATGGTTCTGGACTCCCAGATTGCCTTTGTCCTGCCTGTGTGGAAAGCCCAGTTCTATCTTCTTGGTGATTCTGTGGGTCTAGTCAATATCCTTTCAGAAATTTCCTTTTCTTCATTTAGCCAAGATTGTTTGCTGACAACGACAGACCCCTGACGATGTGCACATATCCTTCAGGGCTCATGAGGCTGGACTTGATCCCTGATCCCTGATCCCTTTGCTGATCCTCTACCCAGAGGCCCCAGGCCTTCCCCCTTTCACCTTTTGCAGCTCTGTGCCATCCAGGACCAGCTGAAAGGTGACTTCACTGTTGCTCCATCACAGGAACAAAGGCAAATGGCTGCACTGAAATCAGCAGGCTTTCTCACCATCTGAACAGGAGTGTGTAGGTGTTGCCTTGGGCCAGTTCATGGAGAGATGGTGTGGGAGTGACTTTCAGTTTGCAGCTAGTAGCTACGAGCAGCTCAGAGTGCTAGGAAAACCTAAGCTCATACAGGCCTGACAGGAACACCTGCAGGATGGGGCACTCTGCTCTAGGGAACCATCTGAGCGAAACCACATCCTCAGTGATTGAGGTCAGCATTGCCAGGGAACCAAGAGACGAAGTCCTGAGGCATGATTCCCCCAACTCATAAGGCCCCCTTTGCATAGGGACAATGGTCCTTCCAGACTACCTTCCATTGCTAGCAATATTGAGAACTTCCTGTTACATTGACCATAAGATGATTGGTTTACAAATGTTAGGTCACCTGCTTGCTTATGTATGATTGGAGGATACGCCCTACATCAGTTGTAACCTCTTCCGCATTAAATGAGCTTGCAGGAGGTCCACTGGAGGTCTGTCACCTGCCTGCTCTCACCAGTTCTCGATGTCTGTGTCTTGACTCCACGTCCATACCCACCGTGACTGAGTATAGCCGAGGGACCCACAGCAACAATATGGTATCTAAGATCTGGTACAGCAGGCCTCCTGGAGGGTGAACATCCTCAGGAAAGAGAGGCTGGTAGTGGACCATCCAGTTCCTAGACTGTGGAGGCAATTACTGACCCCCAGATTTCAGTGTACCCTGGATCCAAGGAACTGCCCGGAATTGGGCAAGGAGGGATGAGACCAGTGGTTGGGTAGCAGAAAGGCAGGGAAAGAAGGAAGAAGGATAGTCTTCTGTCCCCACACTGTCCTATTTGCAGAAGATGTAGTGTTCATTTTCAGTGATTAGAGGGTTTTCTGTTTCCTAAGAGTTCTTAAGTCCTGGAGCCTGCCTGGCCCTTTTTTCCTTTGGGGCAAGGAAAGAAGTTTAAAAGGTCAGGACAATCCCATTTCTTTTTGGTACTGGTTGATTTAGGAATGGGTTTGTGTCTCAATTCTGGCTATTGAGACTCAATGAGAAGTCTGTGGGAGAGCTTCTGAAAACTCATGATCATGGTCATGGTCCACATGAGGTCATGATGCTTGTAGTTGCAGCAAGTCGTTCTACATCCAAAAGGAGATAAGGAAGGCAGAGGGGGAAAAATAGAATGTACAAGGCTGTTAATAACTTCATCCAGACATTGAGCCAATCCTAGAGCCCTCTGCCTTCAGATTAATTCAGTGAATGAATAAATTTTATGAAGTTTGAGTCATTACTACTTGGGCATTCTAATATTTGACCAGCTTAAATACAGCTTTGATGACATATGCTCAAAGTTCAAGAGCTCCCGTTCCCTTTTGTTATACAAATGTAAAATGTTGTTACAGATAATCCCCATACGGTGGCGCTTACATGCTACCTTACTGATACATTTTCTTTTATGCTCTCTATTGCTCAATTAAAATGAATACTGCATATCTGTTATACCTAGTAATTAGAAGTTAATAAGGTATTTATACTATTAATTTAAAAATTAAAGTTTAATATGAAAAAATGTAGCTTTACTTTTGGTAACTGACTTCATCTTGTTCTCTAGACATGATTTTATGAACCACAGAGAATAATTCTCCAACTTGCCAATAAGTATAGCTCATTCTCTTCCAATTTTATTTTGTTTAGTTTTTGTTTGGGGAATTGAACCCAGGGATGCTCTCCCACTGAGCTAAATCTCCAGCCCTTTATTTTTATTTATTTATGTATATATATTTTTTATTTTGAGACAGGGTCTTGCTAATTGCTTAGGGCCTCACTAAGATACTCTGCTGGCTCAGACTTGCAATCCTCCTGCCTCAGCCTCCTGAGTTCCTGAGTATTTTGTGCTACTGCACCCAAGGTATTTTGTTATTTTTTCCTCAAGTACTGGGGTTGAATCCAGGGTTGCTCTACCCACTTATTTTTTACAGTGAAACAGCCTTGCTACATTGCCTAAGCTCGCTTCAAAGTTGTGATCCTCCTGTCTTGGCCTCCCAACTAACTGAGATTCCAGGCATGCCCCAAAGTGCCCAGCTCTCTTCTGACTTTAAACTGTGTCTTATGGATAGACAACTAGTGAATTCTGAGTTTGCATTCATTATCAGTGGCCCTTTAGAGGGTCTCTCAATGGCTGTTCTTGCTGCTGCTGGAATTGCCTGCTGGCTCTACTGTTTTCCTGATGACTGTTAGGACAATCAATCTGCTTTTATTATCAATCTGTTTTTATTATAATTTGAGTTTTTACAAAAATCCCACAAAACTCAAAGTCTTGCTCCTAAGAGAGGGAATGTACACCCTAAGAGAGGGAATGTACACCCTAAGGTAGCAAAGGACTGCTGGACAGATCAGGGTTGGGGGGGTGGGCAGAATGATATGGATACTGGGCCTGGGGGGACTCTTGTTGTGGTGTTTTGGTAGGATGCCCCCCTAAAAGTCACAGTATCGCCTCAGATGTACCTGCCAGGGGCATGAGATCCTGGGGACTGACTCAGGATTGTTCATGGTGTCCATGTTCAGAAGTAGCCTCCAGTGATGGTCGCCTAGCCAAATTGTTCTGTGCAATGATTTTTTGCTGAAGGTCAGATAGCATGAATATTTATATGATAGAGCTAGGATTTAAACTCTGCTTATCAGGGACCAAAGACCCATTCTAGTCTCCTTTAACACCTTCCCCAGAGGAAAGGTGGGGGACCCCAGGACTTTGAGTGCCTCTGGAGGCTCTAGAAAAGGCAATTATTCCAGAGTGGAGCCCCAGCAGCAGATGAGGTTCTAACCCCACCCGCCTGTGATCCAACAGAGAGTGGAGACCAGATCAAGTTCTATGGGTTCTGGGCACTTGCTCACCATCCCAGTCCCTGATCTGGAGAAGCAGGCACACAGCCTTGGAAAGAATGGATAAGTATGGTGAGTGGGGCTGGTGGTAGGCAGGGGCCAGAGGATGGGGCATCTTGACCCCAGCCTGGACCAACTCACCCATCACCATGGTAACCCCAGAATAGAAGTTGAGCCTTTTCTCAATTACCTATCTTCATAGCTACAAGCCTTTTCCTTTCTCCTTTTTCTTGTTTGTTTGTTTTTTGGTACTGGGGATCGAACGCAGGGGCGCTTAACCACTAAGCCATATCCCCAGCCCTTTTATTTTTTATTTTGAGACAGGATCTCACTGAGTTACTTAGGGATGGCCTCACTAAATTGCCAAGGCTGTGTTTGAACTTGCAGTCCTCCTGCTTTAATCTCCTGAGTCTCTGGGATTACAGGTGTGCACCACCATGCCCAACTTCTTCTGGGATATTCTTGACATCTCCTTTATTTCTAGCTTGCTTCTGTTTGAATCTCTGTCTTCTATGGCCTGGACCATTGTAATGACTCTTAAGTACTTCTCCGTCTTGTCAGAGGGAACATCTTAAAACAGCTCTGAGCATGTCCCTCCATCAGATTGTTCAGTGGTGTCCACTGATGAAGGACAAGCTGGACTCCAAGTCCCATCCTTCCTTTTCAAACCCATTTTCTGTTCCCCTTCCTCCTGAAATGTCCCTAGCACTCCTTTCTGGCTGCATACCAGGCTTGGCCTTTCAAAACCAGAAGATTATTTAATCTCTTTTCCTAGGTAAAAGTGCAATGGACCCCTGGTTTTCCACTTTTAGCAATATCAAGAACAGGCAGAACCTTTGAAACAACTTCTCCTTAAAGATTTCAAACATTCTGGATCACATTCAGAAGCCCCGCTATTACCTGTGCATCACCTACCTAAGAGGGTTGTGGAGATTAAGGGATCTGATGTAGGAAGAGAACAATGACTACACACAGTTGGTGCCGGATACACAGGGATTAGAATAGCAATTATCATTCCCTTTTGCTTAAATAGGATGGAAAGGGATCTATACTTTTTTTTCTTTTATAATAATAATTATTTTTTGCAATAGTGAGGATCAAATCTGGAGCTTTACACATGCTGAGCAATTAGTTGCTCTAACCCCCAGTTCTTTTTATTTTTAAGTTTGAGACAGGGTTTGATAATTTACTGAGGCTGGCCTCCAATTTGCACTCTTTCTCCCTCAGAGTACCCTGCCTGGCTAGGAGTTTTTCTTGACCTTCCAGGACAAACTCCCAGAATTGTGCCTTCCCTTTTCTTCTCATGATAAATCTAGCTCTCCAGACACAGGTGCTGGGTGAATGAATGTTTGCTGACAGGTGGACACCAGCTTCCACATTAGCTTGAAGTTATGGAGCTCATGCCCTGAACAAAAGTGTTGAGAGCCACAACTCAACACAAAAGTGCCAGCAAGAGTGGGCAGTAGTGTTTAAAATCTACTGGCAATTGGGTCATGCCTGAAGGAAGAGGCATCTCTTCTTAATTTGTCCACCTCCAGGGCAGCTCTTTCCTAATTGATTGGTTCATGGAAAGGATCTTTTTTTCTGTTCTGTCTATACAGATAGCTATACAGATAGCTTTACGAATCACAAAGAGTCCTGTCTACCCTACCACCAGTGTTGCTGGGGCTCCCTAAGACAAGTCCCACTTTGAGGAGGGAAAACTCATATAGTAAACAAAATACAACCAACCACCTATTAAAAGACAACTCATGCAATTAATGTTTACTGATAGCCTACCCAGAGATCAGGCACCCCTAGAGCCAATTAGAAGAAAGTGGTGATCTGGGGATGCCGTTCAGTGGTAGAGTAAGGTACCGGGTGCAATCTTCAGAACCGAGATTAGAAAAGGAAAGTAAAGAAAAAGAAAAGAAAGGTGTTGAGGCACTACTTCACCTCACTACACAGATGAGGAAACGGCCTGACAGAAATGAGGTCACTTGTCCCAAATCCTTAGCTTGGCAGTGCCTGGGAGCAGCCCTGCTTCTCCGGGGAATGTTCCATACTCTGAAACCCTCTCAAGGAGTCCAGCTGGTCCGGGGCATCTCACACACACCGTCCTTCAGAACCCTGCACAGTCAAGTGTTCCCAGGTCCTCCACCAGGGACAAAGGTACAGCGCTGAGCTCCTCTTCGCTCGCAGGTGTGAAGACCCCCTTGTGGAAGAAGGAGCTGGAGGAGCCTTGCGCCAAGGAGGCGGCTCAGGAGAAAGAGGAGGAGAGGTCTGAGGAGGACGACGAGGATGTGACCGCAGATAGCGCGGCAGAGGACGCGGAGGAGACGCGCCAGGCGGAGGTGCAAGGCCGCGAGCGGCTCTCGGTGTCCTACTACCCACTGAGCCAGGAGTCCAGCACCCAGCAGGTGGCGCTACTGCGGCGCTCAGACAGCGGCTTCTGGGGCTGGTTCAGCCCCTTCGCGCTGCTGGGCAGCCTGGCTGCTCCTGCCGAAAGGTGAGGATGCTCCTTGGTCCCGCACCAGGACCCGGGTGCTGAGCCCCAGGGAGGATGGAAGGCCCAGGGCACTGAGAGCTCGGGTTCCCGGCCGCAGGAAGCGAAGCCTTCCGGAGGAGCCGTGCGTGCTGGAGACGCGACGGTCTCCGCGCCTCGGGGGCTGTGCGCGCTGCGAGATCCTTTTTTGCAAGAAATGCAAGAGCCTGCACAGCCACCCGGCTTACGTGGCGCACTGTGTTCTGGAACACCCGGATCTGGGTAAGGCGGAGACGGCTGAGGGCTCTGAACAACTCCGCTCTCAGCCTGTGTCCTCCAACCTTGCCTAATGTCTAAATCCCTGCAACCTTCTCTACCGCGAAGCTAGCCCCCTCCAGCATGATCCACAGAACTGCCCCTTCTTCGAGCTGTACCCAGAGCACCCCACTCCGGCAAGAAGTCCCACTGTAGGTGAGGGGTTTCCACCTGTCATTTAGCGGGGCTCTAGGTTATGCTGGACTTTGCATGGGGGGACTCTGTATAACCTAGAATCCCATTACTCTCATAGTGCTCTCGAAGGGCTCTGGCCCTCAGGGAGCACCCAACTTTCACCACCACCTGATTCACGTTCCCAACACAGTTTCACAAGCATCTCTTTCAGGTCCTTCTAGCCTGGTGAGCAGAGGCATCTCCTAGAAAAAGTAACCTCTGGTTTTCCTCATCCCTCGGAAAAGTTGCCCCTTTCCCTCAAATCATTCAATAAAGCCTCTAATCAAAGTGTCAGTGCCTTGAGATGGGGGCGAGGTGGTTTTAAGTAGGAGTAAGGAAGATGGGACACTCTTTCCCCTCCCTGGGTTCAAGTCAACGAGAGAAGGCTGGCAGGGAGCCACCTCTCTCACCTCCCCGGGGCAGGGTAGCACAAGGCCCTTGAATCCAAGGGCAGTCAAAGGCCAGTCTCCCCACCGCACAGAGAAGAAGGCAGGCGCAGGGCCAGCAATGCCCCTCGGGAAGGAAGGAAGGAACCCTCCCAGACCATTCTCCTTTCCCCTGGAAGCTGTTTGCTGAGGTCAATGTGTGTGCAGATGAGGCACTGGCAGGTGTGGAGGGAAGGGAGGAGAACTAGATGCTAAAATAAATGCTGAGACTGGCTGAAGCAGAAGATGGAGGCTGGGGAGTTGGTTTCTTCTCCAGGAATCCCAGCTATTCTTGGCCAGACAGCAGGAGCTCTGGGAATGCTGTGTGTGTGGCCTGGAGAATGGGGCCATTGTGAGCACAAAACCTCCCCCAACCTGCAGAATCCTTTTGGAGGCTGCATCCTGAGCACCAGCAGCAGTGCAGCAACCCCACCCCCCACTGTAAGCCCTCTGACTTCTCCCTGTGGCAAGGGTTCTCTATCTCAGGGGTGTTTGTGTGTGTGTGTGTGTGTGTGGTGGGGGGGATGAGTACATTTTGCTTTTTTAGGAGAGGCAGAAGCCCCCATTCACATGTAGCTGGCTGGCCCAGGCTTGGATAGAAGAGCATTATACTACAAGTTCGATATACACAGTAGAGACTGCTATAGTCCATCTTTCTTACACATCTGCTGTCACTGGAAAGGATGGAAGAACTGGTTCAAGGAAGGCTGCTTCCCACCTGCAGGCCCACCAGCTGGGGATGACACTGTTTATTCCTGCCCCAGACAAAAGCCTTGGAAACCCATAACAAGTCTCCCTCTTGTTCTGCATCCTGAACCCCCAATGGGCCCCTGAGGTTAGAGACCCTGTGCCTTCACCCCATCGGAGCTTACTGGGGAGAGATCTGAATAAATAAGACACAATACCAAGAACTGAGCCAGGAGACCCTAAGAAGAAGGGGTCTAGCTTGCAAAATAGTCTCCAGCCTCTGGAGTTTTGCATCCCTCCTGGTCAGATTCCAGTGCTCTCTCCTCGCAGACAGAACACAACCATTAGCAGAAGAATCAAAATCTCTGAGGCTTGGTAATGAAAGAGGTCCTCAGTGGAAAGAATTGTGGGATATTTCCTTTTTTCCTTCCCCTTGGCTTGATCGCACCCCCACCTCCATGTAGTGGGAACAGCAGTGTTCTCCAAGGAACAAAAAGCACACAAACTTCCTGGTGAAGATTTTGCTGCTCAGTCTTCTGCAGGGAGGCGGGGGCTTCCAGGTCAGGTTCTGCCCCTGCATCTGGGATGTGAATGGACCCTCAAGGCACCGAGGGTTCATTAGGTGATGGGCTGCCTTCAGAACAGGGTGCCTCCCGAGTTGGCATGCCAGCAGCCCATCCAGGACAACTCAGTGGCCCAGCGGCCTGAAGCAGTCACTCGCAGTTTGGTTTGGTCCAGGCTCCAGTATTGATCATCTCTGAAGAAGATGATAGAGCCATCTTTCCTTGGCAAGGCACCACTGACCTCCTCAGGGACACCCTTCCAGTCCTGCAAACTGCGGGGGTAGTAAGGTTCCACTTGCAGTCCACCTTGGGCCAGCACATAGTAGCGGGCACCCTTGAAGAGGATGATGCGGTGCAGAGGAGGGAAGAAGAGGGCCGCATCGGGATGGCGGGGCAGGCCCCCTGCCCGGCACAGCTGTGAGAAACCCCACACTGACTTGGAGCCCCGGAACCTCCAGCATCGACTCCCTGTAGGGCATTGAGAAAGACAGGGTGAGCTGGAGCCCACTGGTCCCACCCATTGGTCTTCACTCCTTTGCTGTCTCCCTTGTTCCACTCAAGTTGGAGCCCAAGGTTGTTGGTTAATGGGGGCCGCCAACAAGTTAGTTATATACTGTAGGGGAGGGACTGCTATAGTTTAGGCTTCCAGCAGGTGTCAGCAGAGAGCCAACAGCCCAGAATGAACCTATCAATTTGTGCTTGCAGGGAGAGCAGGCTGGGGCCTGGAGAGGGGGCACAGTCCCTTCCCTGGGGGAGGAATGGAACAGGGAGAAGTCTTGGAACTTTCTTCACATCTACTAATTCTAAAAGGCAAGGGTTTTTTTTTGTTGTTGTTGTTGTTCATGGCCACATTCCTGACACTTCCAGTGGTTTGGCACATAGAAGGACCTCCACATTTGTTTCATGAATGAAGGAATGAATGAATACTATCTACTAAAGAATTATGACATATATAGCAATATACTGCACACTCTTTGGCCATTATTTTTATCCTCCTTCCCCCCCAAAATGTATTATTTTCCCTATTGAAGGAATGCAAGCTCTAAAAATTAAGTGACAACCCCAGCCTCACACAGGATTCCTTAGAAGACACCATTCTTTCTGGAATGGCAGAGCTCAATAGCAGTCCTCTGCTTCCCTTTAGACTCTTCTCTGAAATGCTCCCCAGGACAACTTTGACACCTGCTGCTCTCCACTTCATCACTGAAAGAAATTTCCTGATAGTGTGTTTCTGGGGTCACTGGTTCATTGTGGGGTAGACTTTACCAGAGACTCATTGGATGAGTCTCCTCCCCTCTCTTGACCTCCCCTCTCTAATCCTCAATTTTCTCAGCTGCCTCAGGGCTGATACCTTTGAAGAAGTAGAAGTCTCCATCCTCCAATGACACTGCAGCAGCCTCAATGTTGGGAGGCAGCCTGGCCCACCTGTCCTGTAGTGGGCGGGGCTCTGAGACATTGCCATCAGGTGTCACCTCCCAGAAGTAGCTCCCTTTAAAGATGTACACTTGTTGGTCCCCATCTGCTTGGAAACAAGAGAAGCTTGAGGAATGACCATTGACCTCTGCCATGTTTCAGGGAAGGTATTATGAAGAACCCAGCTTCCCAAATCAACAAGCAAAGGGTGTGATATGCGCAAGGGACAGTTGGAGGAGATGTGGACAGGAGGAAGCAGTACTTGGCTTTCTGTGAGCTTGCTACTGTGCAGAATGCTTGTAGTTTGGGATTTATGGCTTCTGTAATCCATCCCTGCACCTTGTACTCCAGTTCTGGGGACCCTTGGAGATATGAAGAAGGAAAGAAGGAAGCCAGGCACGGGTGGGACCATCTTACCTGCAGTGATAGCATCGAAGGAAGAGTGGCAGTATTTAGGACCCTGGGTTTCAGGGTGCCTGCCTTGAGAGTTATGGGGATCCCAGGCCTCAAAGTCAGTGAACAACTTTCCTGGGAGCTGGATGGCCCTTGAGCCCCCTAGGGGCTTCCCTTTAGGAGTAAAGAGAGAAGAGGGAGAGAACAGACTGGTGGGGGTATGTTGAGTACTTAACCCTTCCCTTTGATTCCTTTCATGATTGTCTTACATGAGGGGCAAGGAGGAGGGTGGGAGTGGAGATAAGAGCTGCCCTGGTTGTTGGTGTTAGCCATAATAACACTAAACCCAGGAGTCTTGTCTCTTACCCAACAGCCTGAGATACAATTGGAGCAGAAAACAAAGCTAGGGTTTGGAACTAAGAAGGGCAGGGAATCATCTTCTCCAAATCTTGGGCAACACAGGTGGCATGATGGCATGGTTCAGGACCCCAGGGCTGTGATAATTTATAACAATGATAATAATTACCTCCTAGCCTTCACTTATCGGAGGAGTGAAGCAGAAATTTGGCATCAGCTCCTGAATCCTGGTCTTCAATTTCCTAGCTTTGCCACCTTGGGCAAGTTATTTATCCTCTCTGAACCCCATTATCCTTATCTGTGGTCCAAAAGACATTTAATTGGTGGCATGTTTTAAGTGTAAGTGCCTGGCCTGTGGTAAACACTAGTGAAATAGCAGCCGTCATTGTTACATTTTGTCGATTTTCCAGGCTACAAAGCATGCTCAGACCCACAGTAGCACAACATCCAGGTAGGTTAAGCAGGACCTCTATTATTCTCCTTTTTTTTTTTTTTTTTTAACAAAAGGGAAAAATTAGGGCTCTTAGAGGGGAAATGTTTTGCCTAAGAGCAACTGCTAATCAGGAATGGCAAGTGACTTGAACCCAGGCCTCCTGGCTGTGCCCCTGGCACTCTGAAGCAGGTCCCAAGACAGTAGCACTGGCTGATTGATCTGGCCTGGTCTGCTCTAGGGGAAGGACCTTGTCTGAGCCCACTACCAGGTCGAGGCTCTGGGAATACTGGGAGTACCTGGGCATCAGCAACGTGCAGAGGGGGCATTGAGCCAGTGGGATTGTGGGGAGGGATGAGGGCTTTGGGTTCTGGGATGGGAGAGAGGTAAACTTAATTGGATCTGAGTGATGGACAAGGATGTGATGGGAGAGGGGCTGCCAAAGCTGGGGTTTGGGCAGGAATTCAGAAATTGGAATGCAAGGAAGGCAGCAGGGGAGAATCGCACCCAGGAATTGATTGGAGACTTATGGAGAGGTGGGAACAGAAGACTGAGGACTATCGGGTTTGAGGGGAGCCTGGAGCTTCGGGATTGGGAGGTCAGGTGAGGGGAGACCAGATTCCTAAGCTTAGGGTCTAAGGACTGGCGGCTTGCGAGGGGAGGGGGCGGGAACGGAGACACGACAGGGTGGCCCAGAAGCAGGGCTGGGAGGCTCACCATACAGGGTCTGCACCGCCAGCACGTCGTCCCAGCTGAGCAGCGCATCGCGGCCCAGCCTCTTGTAGTAGGGAGCCATGAGCGCGCGTGGCGCCGGCGAGTGGGTGAGGCCGAGCGTGTGGCCGATCTCGTGCGCCAACACCACGAAAAGGTTGCGCCCGCGGCGGCGGCTCAGAGACCAGCGCTCATCCAGGTCGAAGTGCGCTTCACCGCGTCTGGGAAGGAAGGCGTGCGCCAGGGCGCCCCCTGCAGGCGGCGCAGAGGGTCAGGGGGAGCAGCGACTCTCGCCCACGTATCCGCGCCAAACGCAAATGCCCCTGTCTTAAGCAGCTGGAGTGTGGGGAGGTGAACAGATGACTGACTAAACTATGGGATGTGGACTTCTAAGAGGTCCCATGGTGTAGATTCAGCTTGGGGCTAAACTGCATAGGTTCCAATCCTAGTTTTACAGTTCACTACCTGTGTGACCTTGGACAGGCAACTTTAACCTTCCCCTGTCTTAGCTTCCTGGTCTGAAAATGGGAATGGTGATAATAAGCTTCTTCCTCAAAGCGTTGTGAAAAATATGTGCAAGTAACTTAGAACAGTCCCTAAAACATATATGCTATATAAGAATTATTTCAAAAAGAATCTAGGAGTAAGAATTGGTGGTTACCCTGAGAAGGGAACATGCTAGGTCCTTCCATTCTGTTTCTTGATTTGGATACTGGGTGTATGAAAGTTCATCAATCTGTAAACTTATGATATGCAGCACTTTTATGTGTATGTATATTTTCTAAGTATGGGTATTCTTGCTTTCTTGCCCTCCCAGGGTTCTTTAGGTAGCCTCTCTCTCTACTTGTCATAGGAGTGAGCAGAGGGAGTTGGGCTGTATCAGGGATTTTAGTGGAGCCCACACACAGCCTAGATCCAGGGCCCCACCCCTCACGATTCAATTTCTGCAGAAGCAGTTTATGACACAGGGGTCAGAACATTGCTCTTTGATAATGTTGGCCTAGAAGCTTGTTGAAAGTCCTTTGGCTCTGCCTTCTTAGAGCTCAGGCCAGGTGGGATTGACAAATATGGGAGGCTGGCAATAAAAGGAGGGCCTTGTGGGGGTGGAGAGTCAGCCAAGGTAGGAGCAATCTGAATATGCCTAGAGCCATTTCTTGCAGGCTACATGCCATGCAGCTCTCACTAGGAGATGAAGAGACAGGTCTCAGAAAGGAGAAAACCAAACTCAAAAAGACAAAGCATCTGTCCCAAGTCAGAGAGCTGCTTGGGGAGTCCAATGTCCTGATGCCCCAGCACTGAACCATCTTAGGTACTGGAACTCTGCCTGGGTATGAAAGTAAACATGTCATATAGATATCACGAATGACATGCGTTACATGTAAGCATGTGTGCATGCCATATGTAGATTCTGGAAAAGCCTGGATTTCTTCCGGTACTAACTGGCCTCCCAGCAGCAGGACCTAGCAGTGCTCCTTGATACAGGTAGGCTTGATGGATAGCAGAAAAGTGCAAGAGAGGTGGGAGCCCAAATTCCCAGGCCATACAGGGCTTAAGTCCCCACCCCAAAGGGATCCGACCATACTTCCTTTCCTCACTTTCCTCACTAGGAAAGAGGAGACCCACAAATAGCCCATAATCAGGTTCTGATAGCCAGTGTTGGCAGAATGGAAGGAGTACCTTTTACACTGCAGCCAGAAGCCATTGGGGTGGGGACAGAGGAAACCAGCTGTGGCTGCAGGATAGCACTTCTGTAGCTATCAGGGGATAGAATTTCACTTGCGTTGTAGCAGCCACTGTGGCAGTGAGTTGTGGGGCAGAGGATAGGAGCAGGGTAAAGTGGTGACCTCTGGTTGTTTTTTAAGAGTCTGATCTAGAGAACAAGAGAAGGCCAGTCCTGATGGATGATGGGACCTCAGAAGATTCTCCTAGAATAAATAATACTCTTTAGAATTTGCAAAGCATTTTCCAAGCAGAACCTTATCTGACTTCCCTACAGACATGTGAGGTGTACTAGGGCAGGGACCACTGTTTCCATTTTATAGATGTGGAATCTGAGGGCACTTTGGAGTGGGGCCATGGCCAAGAGGAGAAGGGATGCTCCATTGTCACCCACAGACTGCTTCTTGGTTGGGTTCCCCCTCCTGCCATATGGAGAGAGGTTTTGTGTCAGCACCTGGGCCGTCAAAAGCGTTGTTCAGCCCATCATTGTGGTCCCCTTGGAAGAAGGTGAGGCGGATGTCAGCAGGGCCGGTAGCCGGGGCCTCCCAGAACTCCAAGGCTGAGACGTTGCTCCACAACTGGAAGGCGGCACGCACAGCCCCCCGAACTACTGGCTCAGGCAGGCTCCCAGGCCAGTTCACCAGGCGGTAAGAGAGGTGCTGCTTGTACCATTTGTTGCCTGTCAGTCAGAAAGGACATGTCAGTCACACCTGCTGCTGGGTCTGAGCGAGTGTCTGTCCCCATGGATCCAGTATAATGGGGGGAGGGCAGGCCCTGCCCAGGGAGCCTCTGATCTGAAGTCCCCATCAGATCACTTATACCCCCCATTTGACTGGAAGACACTGCCTCTGCTGAGGGGACTGCTCAGACTGAGGAGACTTGCCCTGGAGAGTCCCCAGTCTAGTGGGGGAGGTCCCAATATGATGGAGGATATGTAGCCTCTACCTAGGAAAAGCCTAGAAGTCTGTCTGAAACCCTGGTCTGTGGTCTTATTCTTTCCCACAGCCTGGACTGAGTCTGAAAAAGCTCTGTGTCTCTTGCTAGCAACAAATCTCAGCCTCTGCCTCCAGTGTCAGGACAGAGAAGCCCAAAGGTCACAGCTGTGACTGCCCCATCCGCTCTCTTCACCCCTTATAGCCTCCTGCCACCTCCCATAGGCTCCACCCTGCTCTTTCAGGGCCTGGGGCCTGGAGCTGGCCAGCAACCATTAAGACCCATTTATCTGAGGTCCTTCCCTGACCCCTTGCCCTCCTCCTCACTTCCGCAGGGACTCTGGAGAGCTCTGAGGTGAAAACAAATAAGAATGAAGGGTGTGTTTTGTCACAGACCCAGGGAAAGTTTTCCATCTCTGCTTAGTTAAGAGCTTCTCTCCCTTTGCCCCAAACCTCAGTTCCTCCACAAGGGCTAAGACTCTGGCCTCTGCCCCAGGTCAGCTGGGTCTCTCTGCAGTTCACTGGGCACCCAGGAACAGGGTGACTAGAAGGACCAGCTCCTGAGTTTCTCATGGGCAGTTTCTGAACCCTGCAAACTCAGGTGCTAAGACTGCAACCCCATAAGGAAGACTTGTAGCTTGAAGGCAGGACTTCTGGGCCCAGAGTGGGGTAACTGAGACCAGGGAGAAAGGGTCACAGAATGAGTGAGTAGCTGAGCTGGTCCCTGACCCCTAATCTAGTGCTCCTTCCAATTATACCACACGGAGAAGCAGGGCCATTTGCTAAGACTCCTGCCTTGTAAATCTGCCTGAACATCAGTCCTTCGGGTCAAAGCAGCAGCCCTGCATGGGCTGAAATTCTCCAGATGGAAGGAGAGAGGCTGGGCTCCCTTGCCCTCCCTACCATGGGAGTGGGGGAAGGGCATGTCCCTTTTCCCACCCCTGAGCTGAGCTCCATTCAAGGCAATGCTGCCTCCCTGGACTTGTTTGGTCTGGCATCCATCCAATCTCTGCCTCCAAGCCAGTGAGCAACCCTCCGAGAAGGAAGAGGGAATGATTCTAAGGAAGGGACCGAGACAGGGAAAGGGGGGGCGCTGGGGTCCAGAGGCACCACCAAGAGTTCATTATGTACCAGGAACACTCTGTTAGACTGTAAGTCTTCCCTGGACACAGACCATCCAGAGCTGGGCTCCTTCACATCCTGCTGGGGGTGACTGACTCCCAGACTCCCCCCATGAACCTTCAATCCTTTAGCAATGTGAGGTGGCTTCTCCTGCTTTTGTTTTGTTTTGTTTTTGTTTGTTTGTGTTGATGATTGAGCCCAGGGGCACTTTACCACTGAGCTATATTCCAGCCCTTTTTATTTTTTACTTTGAGACAGAGTCTTGCTAAGTTGCTGAGTCTAGCCTCAAACTTATCATCCTCCTGCCTCAGACTCCTGAGTTGCTGGGATTATAGGCAGGTACCTGGCTTTTCCTGTCTGTTTGCAGTTAGAGAGAGGCCCCCTCTCTATGGGTAAGAAAGAGCAGGGGTAGTAATTCTCTGACTTTAGGTAGCCAATGAAGATGACAGATCTCAGGATAAAACTCTGCAAAAATATGTATATGTTTGTGTTTGTTGAGGGACAGAGGTACAGAGGATGAACACAACCAGGGATTCCAAGAAAATGACTGCTTCCTTGGGAGTGGAGACAAGCTATGGATGGGTGGCTGGTGAGCCCTCCAGGAAGAAAGGAACTGGTCCAAGGCAGTGGACTGAACCCTCTGCCCTATCCTTTTCAAGGTCAATTCTCATGGAGAAGGCTGGTCACTTCAGGCCCCATCCTAAGTTCTTGGTTGGACAGAGCTGGTTTTCACGATGACCCCCAGGCTTTTGTAGTAGTACCTGGCATTGTACCCCCCCCAAAGACCTTGCATCAGAGTCCCATAGGGGGCCTGGCCTGGGTTGTAGCTCAGTGGTACAGCACTTGCCTAGCATGTGTGAGGAACTGGGTTCAATCCTCAGCACCACATTAAAAAAAAATAAATAAATCAATTAAAGATATTGTGTCTTGGGCTGGGGATGTGGCTCAAGTGGTAGCGCGCTCGCCTGGCATGCGTGCGGCCCGGGTTCGATTCTCAGCACCACATACATACAAAGATGTTGTGTCCGCCGAAAACTAAAAAATAAATATTAAAAAATTCTCTCTAAAAAAAAAATAAAGATATTGTGTCCATCTACAACTAAAAAAAAAAAAGAAACTCCCAAAGGGAAGAGGAAAGGGGTTGGGGGAGAGCTAGCCACTGTCTGAGAAGGAACTTGGAGTCCTAGAACATGCAATGGGAGCCTAATAATTCCACCTGTGAACTTACATAAATTGTGGAATTTCTCCATGCCTCAGTTTCTCTTTCTACAAAGTGGGGTCAATAAGACTTAACACATGTAAGATACGAGGCTTAAATAGGAAAGCAATGTGGAGCTGACTGGCAGGTGGTAGGTGCTCAGTAAATACCTGTGCCTTTTCCTACCTTTACCACCCCAGATATACCTCACAGACCTCCTGCCCCCACTAGCTCTGTAAAGGAACAGGGGGATTAAAAGTTAAACCTGCAGGCACAGAGAGGAGCAGGACTGGAGTTGTGGCTCAGTGGTAGAGTGCTTGCCTTGCATGTGTGAAGCCCTGGGTTTGATCCCCAGCACCATGTAAAAATAAATAAATTAAATAAAGGTATTGTGTCCATCTACAACTAAAAAAAAAATTTTTTAAATGCAGGATATGGGGGGTGGGGAGGGCTGGGATTGTGGCTCAGCGGCAGAGTGCTTGCCTAGCACGTGCAAGGCCCTGGGTTCGATCCTCAGCACCACATAAAAATAAATAAATAAAATAAAGATATTGTGTCCAACTAAAAAAATAAATAATAAAAAAATGCAGGATATCCAGTTAAGTTTGAATTTCAAAATATAAATAAAATTTAAATAAAATAATTTGTATTCACCTGAAATTCAGATTTAGCTGGACATTCTGTATTTTAACTGACCAAGTGCTACTATCTTCTGTCCAAAATAGATACTCCAAATTGACTAGTGACAAAGGCACTCCATTAGATCCTTCCTTGGGGCAGGAGAAGGAAAGTTATAGCCAGATGGAAGCAACCGCAGAGCTCAGGCCCCCAGTGCAGCTGCTGAGACTGTTTCTGGGGCTACCCCACTTTCCACTGTGCTCTTACAACAAGCCCTGATTACGCTTGGTAATCAGGGACTGGCTCTTCTTTGGAGCCTTTCATCGCAGAGTAGGGAGAAGGAGGGGCGGAACTCTGATCACAAGACACGAACCCAGGGCTGCGGCTCCTGGGATGGGTTCTGTCTGTTCTATTGGCCTCCTGAGCTCAGGCCTCTCCTTTCCCACTTCACTCTTCCCCTCTGCTGCTCAGAAACACGGTGGGATGAAGAACATGCTGATTCAAGGACATTTTGACCCCCGGGGTCCAGACCTCATCGCTGACTCCTTGCTTTACCAAGAATGAGGCCATTCTGCACAGGGCACCCCAAGTGGCCTGCCATGTGAATGCAGCAGAATGTGAAAACGGCTGGGAACAGCCGCCCTCCAACTGCCTACAATTTCCTTATGGATTAGCTGAACAATGAAAGCACACTCCATGCCTTCAAACCCATTCGTAGGAATATTATCGGTAAAAGTAGTTCACACAACTCCAAGTGGCAATGACCCCAAATTGCTCACAGTAAAATTAACTCTACATGAAGACCTGATGGGAAAACTTCATCTTGTTCCCAATCATGAAAAAGCAAAAAATGACCAGAGAAAAATTGACTTAATAAAAGCCATCATGATAGTAAAAAGACACATAGCCTGTTGTTTGTGAAAAACTGGCTTGGGATATAGCTCAGTGGTAGAGCTTGAGGTCCTGGGTTTGATCCCCAGTATTACAAAAACCAAACAAAAAAGGAGGAGGAGAGTAAGAAAAGACAAAGCTACAAAAGCGATGGAGGGAGAAGAAGAAAGTATATTGTATAAACTGTGCTGTGAGAGCTGGGGATATAGCTCAGTTGGTTGAGTGTTTGCCTTGCATACACAAGGCCCTGGGTTCAATCCCCAGCACCACAATAAATAAGCAAATAAATAAGTGTGCTGTGAGAAAAGCTCAGAACAGCAGATCCTCAGAGACAAAGTAGATTAGTGGTTCCCACGGGGACTGGGGAAGGAGACAATGGGGAGTAACCACTAATGGGCACAGAGTTTCTATTTGGGGTAATGAAAATGTTATGAAATTAGGAATTCAATTGTGGTAGCGGTTGCACAATTCTGCAAATATATTAAAAATCACCGAATGGAACCCATTAAATGGGTAAATTACATACTACGTGAATTCCATCTCAATAAAGCTGTTAAGATGTGTTCTGTCTGAACACAACAAAGATGGATCACATCTTTGTTGAATAATTGTTATGAAAAAGAATTGATTCTGATGAATTTAATGTAAATGAAAAGCGTTGGCTGTAGTTTAACTGTTCTGCATAGAAAATTGATCAAGGAATTCAGTGGACTTGATGGGGTTTGATCTGGGAAATACTTGTACAATGAAAATTCATCAGTGTAGGTATAATTCTGGTTTAAATGTCCTTATTCATAATTATGGTCCTTGTGTCAAAACGTCCTATCTGCCCACCCCTCCCTGCCCTAGAAAGGACAGGTTACTAACAAAGCCCAGTCCCAGGCTAGTTTTTCCATCCATGGGCTTCAGAACATTGGGTGGTCCCAGCCCAGTTGGATTTCAACACTGCTCACCTTGCATTGCAAAGCGTTTTTTGCGCCTCATTTTGGCCCGGCGTCCTGCAAACAGCGCACTCATCCTCTCTGTCCAGGTTGCATGACTGTCAGTATCTGTGACCCCACAGCGGGGACGTGTCATCTGCCGAAGGGTGGCATAGTCGAGCACGCCACTGATGGGAAGTTGGGAAACCCACTGGAACTCTCTGCCAGGAGGAATTGAGATAAAGGATCACAAGGGGAGTGTGGGTAGGGGTGAGGACTGACTTCCTGGGATATGGATCGCCCACCCTCCTAGAGGAGGGAGAAGACAGGCGCTCTGCACCCTGCATGCCCAAGTCCTTCCCATCCCTGCTTCCTACCTGATGGCATTGCTGAATTGGGTGGAAGTGGGAGCTCTGGAGACATGTCCATTGAGGTACCCATACTTCTCCAGGAATGCCTGTGGGGGAGAGGAACATCACAGTTTCCTAGCATTCTTTCCCTTCGCTTTGTTTCTAAAGGTCCCCAGCACATACAGCCTAGCCCAATGTTGCCTCTTGTCCCAAGAGCGTCTGTAAATTATAGCAAAAAGAATTCTGGGCTTAAAAAATCACAAGGACCCAGACTCAATTTCAGGTTAACTTTGGCTTCCTCATCATCTTATGGCATTGTTAGAAATCTAGTGGGCATGCTGGACCCTTATGAGCTCTGAAGTGAGGCTGGTCTGGTCTTGAATCCCAGTGAGCAAGTTACCAAGCTACAGGTTTCTCAACTGTAAAGCAAACTTAATAATTGTATTTGCTTTCTAGGGTTTTTGTGTGAGGACTAATCACAATAGTGCTTATAGAGGACTTACCACGGTGTCTGTGTGAAGAATAGCTATACATGTGGTATATAGATAGACACCATTAATATGCATCAAATTTGCTCTGAATCAGTCAGCTTGTTTAGAAAATGCTCAGCTATTGATCAGGATTTGATCAGATATTAGCTGTGTCATGTCTGGATTGGGAATTCTCTCTCTCATTCTGGATTCTTGCTAAACAATTATCCTCCCCGACTAAATGCAGACATAATTAAGGCCCTGTGAACATCAATGTGCTTACCTTCAACCTTATGATGGATATAAAATCGTGACTTCCTAGAGGTGCATATTTGAATTAGAAACCTGCAATGTCTTCTTTCATTCATGAGTTTGTTAATTCATGCCATATACTAGGGGCCCTGCTGGGTATAACGGCAAATAAAAATCTCTAAAGGATCTTCTACACTAGTATATAGAGACAGACAATAAAAACACCAGTACCAAGAAAATAAAGGAGATAAATTGGTACTATAAAGAAAAACACCCTGAGTGAAATAATTGAGAATAACTTAGAAACTTCACAATCAGGAGGTCAACGAAGGGCCCCCTGAAGAGTAAATATTTGATCCGTGTTCAGGAGATCCAGCCGGCCACCCAATGAGGTGGGAAAGGGCGGCACAGGCAGAGAGAACAGCAAATCCAAAAGCCCTGAGGTAGGATGACATCGATGTGTCTAAGGAATAGCAGAAAACATGGTAAGTGTGAAGAAGCAGGGCGTGAGATGAAGTCAGAGAGGCGGGGCTGTTGGCCAGGATAAAGAGTGCGGTTTTATTTTAGTCTTGCTGAGGGATTAATTGTAGGCAATGCATAAAGAGAGAAATCTGGATGACTTCTGAATTTTTAACTTGGAAGGTGGTGCTATTTGCTGCCTGTGGATGCCTAAGGGAAGAAGAGATGTGGGAAGATGAATGTGATAGTGTCAGAACGGTGACCCTAGAGCTCAAAGAAGCTGCCGAGTCTTTCAGCGTGTAGATGATACGAAGCCAGCACCTGGATGAGAGCCTCAGAGGAACTTAGGACATCAGAGATCATTCCACAATATGAGTCCCTTTTCCTCCCCCACTGTCCTCACATACCTGGAAGCTGCTCTCCCAGAGACAAAGCTCTTGGAGGCCAGGGGAGAGAGCATGCGACTCATTATCCTCACCTATCGCAGTCCTACCCTTTGGGAGCTGAAACACCTCCCCTTCTCACTGATCAAGCCCCATAGATGTCACCTTGTATAAAAACATAGTCATCTCACCTGCTTAATTCTTATACAGACACGCACAATCTCTTGTTACCTGTAAAGAGATCATTTTCTGACTTTTTCTCTGACCCTCACCTTATTTCTTAACTCAAAATAATTCCAATCCTAGCTGTTGCCTCAAGGAAAGGACACAGCTGGGAATGAGACAAGACTCTAAGCCAGGATTGGCAAGACCCTAGGTATTTGCAGGTGTCCAGCCTCCTTTTTTATGGATTTCAACTACATCTGTCTTCAGCCAGCCCTGCTGAAGGCCACTTTCCTAAGGAACCCCTTTCCCAGGCAACAGAACACTTCGCAAGTCAGTGTCATTGTTTTTCTGTGTTACTGTTGCTTTCTTCTTTCCCTTTATAAACGTATACTATTTTCAGATTCACAACGGATCCAAGGAGTTCTAGTGGCTTGAGCGGGAAAATGATTTATTGCTCAAAATAATCTGGCAGCCTAGAATGGCCCGGAGCTTGCGATTGAGACTCTCTTCCCTATCCTGACTCTGCTAGGTGGCTGGGAGTGAATGACTCAACTTCCCTGAACTTGTCTTTACCCACAATGTGAGAACCTCACAAGATTCACAGAAAGACTGAACAAAGCAATGCATGCTTAGCATAGCGCCTGCTACCTAGTAAATGCTCAACAAATAGTCATCCAGTTGATTCGACTCAGAGGGAAAATAAACAAGAGACTTTGAAACACCACCCATCTGCAACATGGAAACTGCTTGGAACAAGGAAGCCACATCTATGGTCTCAGTCCAGGGGCTTCTGCCTGCCACTTGCCTCACTCCTCCAGGTGCCTGTTCTTTTCTTTGTCCTTTTCCTGTCCTCTTGTGAAGACAGAGGACTTTCTAAAGGAAGCCAGGGAATTAATGTCTCCTTAGAAGCAGTGTTACTGGGCGAGTGACTTGGGAGAGACAGGTCACAGGTCAACCTGGCTGGCACGCCCAGTCCTTATCAGGGAGTTGGCTCCCATTCTGGAACTAGGAAGCCTTGGACAGAGGGGGGAGGGAGGGAAATGGTCTGGCGGCTCCCATTTCCTGGCGGGCTGCCGTGCCCGGTACTCTGGCAGGCAAGGTGGGGTGGAGGCTTTTTCCAGGGGCCCCATCAGAGGGGGAGTTCTGGGCTCTGGGACCCTGCCATTGCAAGGCAGGGCTGAACTCCCAATAAACAGAATCAGCATGTGCCCAGGACACCAGCCAAGCAGAGGCACCCAGAGAATCTGATATTTTATATTTCCATAAAAGCACTGAAGTATTATAATAGAGATTTTCAGGATTTATGGACTCTTCAATTTAGTTTATACTGAGTGCGTATATATTTAAAAATTTCTAAATAACATTACAGGAAGGGGCTCCTTATCACTGTCACCGCTGAGAGCTCTAAAGCTCTGTTGGGGGTGGGAGGCAGATCCATGGCCCGGTGGGAGGAGGGGGCAGGGTTAGACTCCCTCTGCTCCAGGAGCTGTCCCCAAACCTCTTCTGTTACATTTCCCGTACCTCAGTGTCCCCTGAAAAGGTGGGAGAAACATCCAACTCTGCATGGGAGAAAGAGCAAAGGATGTGGGGCCGGGGCGCGGGGTGGCAATGTGGTCAGGGTCCCAGGAAAAGACGAAGGACCGACCAGGAGGCAGAGCTCCTGTTTGTGGGAATCATTTCTTCTCCTGGCTTTTGTTTTCTGGAGACTTGTCTGGTGTGTGTTTTAGGAACTGGAGACCCATCAAAGGTCATCCCCACCCCTCTTCATTGAGGTAGTTCCCAGGCCACTTGTCCCTACCTGGAAGGACTTGATTATCTCCTGGGGAGCCCAAGGTTTGAGCTGAATGGAGAGGAAGCTGGAGGGCTGTGCCCCAGAGGTGACTTGCCCCGCCCTAAGCCCATGCCAATGCCCTTCCCACTTGCTTAAGGATGGGGCCACTTTCCTGGGGAGTTGCCTCTGAGTGTCCCTGGGAGTGGCTCTGGTGTCTGGATAAAATGAAAATGGTTCCCTTGAAACCAGCCAGGCAGGTGGGACGACGGTGACTCTGAGAGGTCTAGTCCTGCATGCGCCCAGACTTGTCCTGGGTGAGTGCGTAGAGCCCAGTCCATTCAGTGCCTGAGGGAAGGGGAAACTCTGGTTGGTTTTGAACAGGGAGACCAACTATGAATCTTAGGCCTTAGTCAAGAACTCTGAGTCACGGGGCTGGCAGGGCCAGAGCACTGGACCCAGAGGCTTGAGTTTTATCTACTGCCAGCTGGAGTCCTGGGGCAAGTCCTGCACCTCAGGTTTGTCTTCTGTGAAATGGGGGTGGGGGTGGGAGTACACGTGGACACTGTACCTTCATATATATATAATATATGTATATATTCCTGCCCTCGTATACATATTCCTGCTCTATTATTGTAGCCTTGCTTCTGAAACTGCCTAACTGTGTGAACGATGACAGTTACTTAATGTTTTACAAGGGCATCATGAAAACTCAAGAAGATGCTTGGGAAAAGCTTCATGACAGTTGTCCTATTAAAAATATTATTTATACCTCTGTGGCCACAAAACTTTATTGTTGGAAGGGACCTTCAATAGATGAGTCTATGACTCATTCCTAGACACTTCCTGTGCATTAAAGAGTTTCAGCAACAGAAATGAAACCAAGATTGTGTGTGTGTGTGTATGTGTGTGTGTATGTCTGTGTGGTACTGGGGATTGAACGCAGGGGTGTTCTACCACTGAGCTACATCTCCAACACTTTTTATTTTATTTTGAGGTAGGGTCTTGCTAAGTTGCTCAGTTTGGCCTCCAACTTCAATCTTCCTGCCTCAGCCCCCCAAGTAGGATTTATAGGTATTCACCCCTGAGCTGGCCGAAACCAAGAATTTAAAAATTGCAAAATGGGGCTGGGGATGTGGCTCAAGCGGTAGCGTGCTTGCCTGGCATGGGTGCGGCCCGGGGTTCGATCCTTAGCACCACATACAAACAAAGATGTTGTGTCCGCTGAAAACTGAAAAATAAATATTGAAATTCTCTCTCTCTCTCTCTCAAAAATAAATTAGCTACTTTAAAAAAATAAAAATAAAAATTGCAAAATGGCAAACTCATGAAGAAACCACGTTGCTTCACCCACAATACAGTCCATTTCAGATTGTATTTCCTGATAATTTTGTTTGTTTCTCTGTAGTGACTGTAGGTTTTGCATATGCTTCAGGTACATGTGTAGTATTATTAGCCAAGTCAAGATGCAAGGGATGATAGCCACATTCTGCCCCAACATGTTCTGTACATGAAAACATTTTCTGGTAATCAGGAGCACAATAGACTTTTGACAACTACAAAGATTTTAAAGGGATTATGCCCTCTTTGAGCCTCACAATCACCTTGCA